GAGGAAACCGAGGCAATAAAGGGCGCAGAAAGTTGCAGATACTAAACAGGATTTACTTTCCGAATACAGTAACTAATGACTCAATCTTTTTAATTACAAGAATTGATTTGATCTTTAAGAAAAATTTGAAATTTTCATTGTTTAAAAACAACGCTAGAAACAAAAGACATCTAATGAAAAAAAAACTTTAAAGGATCACAAATATAACTGAATGTACTAGTACAGATTTGAAAAGACAAGGGTCTACCTATCTTAGAGTGACAATAGAAGAGAAGAGGGCATGAAGAATGTCAAGCATCTGTGAATAAGAACAATGTAAAAATTTACAACATGGTAGACGCACGAAGACCAAATTCAACTCCTGCTGGTGGAAAAGGGATCGACTGGTTTGGATGAAGGCCCAGTTCTCTAAACAGACCACCTTGATGCTGAGAAACGAATCTCTACGGTACGCTGACACAGGGACTAAAAACGTCGAGGGAACCTAGCGAGTATGTGTTATAGACAGGTAGACTGGGCCATTTAGGACTGCTGTGGAAATCAATAAACAATACAAGCACGTATACAATTGTTCCCTATATATATATGTTAAGTTGTGGCTGATTAGGAAGTTCTTACTGATGTGCAAACCTTCATGTGAGTGAAAACCACAGGAAAAGCGTGATAAAGCTCAATAAGGACCGAAAGAAATCCAGCGAACGAACATAGCACAAAAGAGACTCTACAGCAGGTACTAAAGTAGGTGTAGTACACACAACATATTTTTTAGGTCGCAGTAATCAGTTTAATAGGAAAAAACAGGGATGGTATTGAGAAAAACAGAAGTAGATCTGTAATAGTGGGAGCGAAAAATGTTAAGATCAATTTACAATTAAAATGCGGTGACAAACGAGGTTTTTACGACGTGTAAAATAAAAAACTTTATAAGACCAAAGAGTAGTGAATATCAATACAGAAATAGCGAATAAACGAAGGAAATGGGTCCTACAACGAAGACAAATTTATAATCAGAAGAAATTGGAGACCACGTCAACGGGTATGATAATTTTAAGGAAATTTAAAAAGAATAACGGTAGATAAAAAAATAATACACAGAATATAGTAAATATAAAATAATAGAAATATAGGTAAAAGCCCCCAACTTAAAAAGGTGTAAAAATACAGTCTACGCATAATATAATTTGTAATTTTGATATGTATAAGATGTTAATTTGAGACATATGAAGTCATGTATTAATATAAAAATATTGAAAAGAGTGTAAAAGTCTGGAAAAATAAAATTTTCTACTTGGCGAGAAAGGTTGTTAAGTAGCATCGAAAGAGACAAATAATTGAAATATCAGATGAAAAAATAAAGTAAAATTAAATGGATAAAAATAGAAAACAGAAAAAACTCTAAAAAATTGTACACCTAACCTAACCTAAAATTAATTGAAAACGATTCTCTATATTTACGTTTAAATGATTAAAAGTAATATCTATAAAATTTATTTATCTTTAAGTGTCCACATAAAGGCCTTTAAGCCGTGTAACTAATACATCTAGGTGGACTTTAAACAATTCTTATACATGTTTTGATAAGCTCCTTAAATGTGATTAGGAAAATGTAGGAGTTAAAGAAAGAAAAAAGGCATGCGCGTCATATTAATTTGCATTAAGTACATTATTTAAAGTCCACTTGTGAAGTTGTTCAAAACAATTAGCACAACGCTCATGCATTTTGAAATAAGTATAGTGTCAAAGTAGTAGTGGTTATTTTGGTTAGTAGTGATTGACCCAATAGAACGAAATACTTTGTCCAAATTAAATATTAAGGCGCAAATGGTTTCTTTATGACGTAAGTAATAACAATGGCTACAATGTTACCGTATATTGTTCTTCGACTGTCTATATCGATTTCAAATAAATCCTGCTTTTAGTCCTGAAACAGTGAAGCTATTACTAAAATGAGATATTTTAAGCAAATAATGTTTCAAATATATTGTAAAAAATATTTTGAATTCGCTCTAACCTAATAAACTTGTTATTTTTCAACTTTTATGTACAAAAAGAGCAATTTTCTATGAATATTTTTTATGGTGTAATATTTTTAGCTGGACTAATATGCACGTGACGATAAACTTTTTAGAAGATTCGATTGAACGATAAAATTATTAATTTACACTGAGTAATTAGTAATTACTCAGTGTAAGAGTCTCCTAGACAGTTGGTTACGCTATTTTCAAATTTTATTACGTCAAAAGAAACCGTTTGAACCAAAGTCCTGATTCTCCCAATTTAAAATCTAATAAGGACGAACTTACACAAATTTCGGTACGCATTTAAAAAATTATGTTCCGATGGAATCCTAAAAAACGTATTATAATTTAAAATTTAACAGAGTCTTACTTAAAATATTATACTTATTCTTGTCATATCACATATCTTTAAATGTGATCCAATCCTTTCTTTTTATTATAATCATCTAGAATTAATGCCGTTCCTATGACGTTTTCCATCTCATTGGTTTTTTATTTTCTACTTTTGTAGATCCTTCTGCTTACTGGTACGCGAATTTTTATTTCTCATACATTTATATTCCGTAGAGCCAAATTAATGGTATGATCATTTGGCACACTAAAGCTACATAATAAAGGGTACCTGATACCCATTCAGAGTTCAAATTAGTTGTAACCAATCATTCTGCAGATAGCTACTAAGTCACTAGCGCTACCATGTGGCTAATGCGCAAACCCTTTCTTCGATACCTTTTTCCCACTGAAGTAGAGTATACATATATACCGAAACTTCTTCTTCTACGGCACCACAGCCCAAATTGAGCCTTGTATTAACAGCTCGGGAGTCAAATAATGTCACTTGTCGAATCTAGGGCTGTATATACCATAACCCAAAGACGAAAAGTCTTCGGAATATACTCCCGATATTGATGTGACGGTCGGGAACAGAACAATTAGCTTAACTCGCTAACTGTACCACGCGGGACACAGGAACTTTTCTTATCTTTGTCTCAAAACCAGCTCAACGTGCTGAAGACGTATCGTACATAAAAAAGAACAGGTAAGATGATGCGAGTCAGGTTCAGCATCGCAAGACGGTTGGCTGTAGCTTAAAATGCTAAATGGCTTCGTTCTGCACTCAATAAACCTTTACCGTTATTACTCGATAGAGAGTCTCACTCACACTGAGTATTGGTGCGAATTTATACTCTGCAAGTAGAAGTAGGAAAAGAGTCTGGTTATGCACAAGTTAACCGCTTGTAACTTGGCATGTCATATAACTACCAGCAAAATGATTTGTTACATTCTAAAATACAAACTTCACTTGCCCATCCAACTTAATGAAATGCAAATCTCAGAAAGTAAATAATTTCGAAAGCACAGCGCAATAACTTTAATTCAATTTAGCACTAAGGTAGTAAGTATTATTACCATCTAGAATGTTATAAAATTTTCATCTTATCCATTATATATAACAATAAAATTTTAAAGATTACAATTTTCTTTTTCTTTTTTTTCCATCGTTGCTGTATTTTAAAGATGCGCCAAAAAATTACTGCTCCTTGGCGGACAGTTGAATCTCTGGAACGGCAAATCTGAAATATAAAATCCGAGAGAGGTTTCAAAAAGAAGTGCCCTTACGTGATAGTTTACCAGAAAATAAAAAACAATGGTCGACGTTTAAAATTTGTTTCAAAAATTGACTTTTTAGACTTTTTTCAGTCACAAACTATCATTTTTAAAAACCCTTTTCAAAATCTTCCGGATTTGTCAGTCGATTTTAATCAACCCTGAGGCATTTTGTTTATTTTGGTTTTCTTAAAAATTTTATAAATAATTCAAAAAGGTCAACTTTCTAAAAATTTCTTCAAATGTACGCCATTTTGTTTTTTAAACAATTTTCAATGTTTCTAGTAGACTATCACGTAAGGGCACTTCTTTTTTTAAATCCCTTATCTAATTTTATGTTTCAGATTTGCCGTTTCACAGATTAACTGTCCACCATGGAGAAGTAATTTTTGGACAACATTTTGGGCGCCATCTTTACAATATACGATCCATTGAAAAAACAGAAAAAAAATTTTTGTACTCTTCAAAAATTGTACAATATCATAAAACAAGTTTAAGTGCCATAATATAATAAATAAATTACAAAAAAATTGTTGAAAATGTGCCATATTCTAGACGGATAGAACTTAATCAGTTCTTTCAGTATTCTTGTTTCCACGCTTTAGTCTTTTTAATTCATGTCAGAAGAAAGTAATAAGTGGAAATAGAGTCTACAAACCGAAGCTGTAAATGCTTATTTAGCCAAAATACTTCAATAATGATTGATTTTCACAACTTTCTGTTAATTGCATTGTAATGGTGTAGGATATTTATACCAAGTTATAATTCTGTGCCATGTCGTAACCATCAACAACTCAATTTTTCGTTAATAAGTGAGTCTAATAAAGACGATAGGCAACAACACAATGAAAATGACAAGCAAGTGACATTACATGACATTAAAAGTGACAAAAACATAAAAATTATTTTTTTTTCAATTGAATATAATTGTTATATATCACTTTTTTATTCACACTTCAAAATTAGTATTGGCATTTATAGAAACAAAACCAAACTATAATGGATACAGAAAAAAGGTAACAGACTAAAAAATTAAAAAAAAAGTAGTTACTTTTTAAATATTTACTATTATGTTATTATCAAGATATTTTGCTAAAGAAAAAATTAATCATATAATCTAGGTATTAATCCCAATGTTACGTCTGTTTAATTGTTAAAGTCATTATTGTTATCTTTTTTGTTTTAATATTTAATCCCATTCCATCCCTCAACCCCCATCTCTCCAACCCTGGGTCATTTCACGTTGTTTTTAATTAATAAACATACTTGCACACAACGATTTTATTGAAAATAAAACAAATTAGTAAGAAAAACAAAAGAACAAAAGAAAAATAACAAAAAGCGTTATCTTATATATGTTTTAAGATATCGTACCTTTGCACTGTCTTTTAAATGAGCCATGGCCGGATCGTTAATGGGCTTGCCGCTAGCAGCCTTAGTAGCTTGGATCAGATCACCAAGAGCACTAGCAACGTCACGTACTGCGTTGATCAGCATCACTTGGGAATCTGGATTGTCAACGCCTAAACTGGCTGCTCCGAATTTCACTACTTCGGCTAATTGTACTGTAAGAAAAACCACGATGATAAACTAATATACCTTCCAATTATATAATATCATAAGGAAAAGCTACAAGAATAGACCAAGTAGTTTCGATTTATATCGATACATTTTTGACAAAGTAACGTAAGTCACCAAAAACGATTTGTAGAAAAAACAATTTTTTAATTCAACCTGGTTAAACTTATTTAAATCATGAACTGAAAAAACTTGTCCTAAAAAATTCTAGACTTACTACACTTTGGCAGTACCTTTTCAACAATAATAGTGCTAGTTTAATTGAAAAACATGATTTTCGCCAAAAATGTCACTTACGTTACTTTGCCAGAAATGTATCGATATATCACCAGCAAGTCTACTACTTCTAATAATTTGTACTCAACTATTCTACTAACAATTGGTCCCTCGAGCCGGATCATTAGTTGCTGAACAAAGCGACAAAAATAATTGAAAATGAAGTAAAAAGACTCAAAACAGTTACTCAAAAAATGCTTATTCTTCATTTATTAAATATATCCACAGATAACGGGATTGGGATTATTGTTTGACATCGAGCATAAAGGGATATTGTAATGCAGGTGAAAAAAGAAGAATACATTAAAAGCCCGACAAAAGATAATATAAATATAATAAAGAAAATTAGGACAAGATAAATAGAAGTTTTCAAATTAATATATAACCAATAACATTGTGCATGACTGATAAATAAAGAAAGAAATAAAAAACTGATGATAAACATTAAATTGACGGAAGTTTCACTGTATAAAAAACTCTTACCTATGGTCGCAACAGAATTTTGAGCAGCTACAGCCAGTTGTTCTTGTGATGAAGCTGCACCAGCTACCAAAGTCTTAGTATCCTCTACCAACGCCTTAGCAGTCTTCAATATATTCTCTCTGTGATTAGCAAACGATTCATGTTCGCTTTCGGGATTGAGGTTTCCGGCAGTAGCAAACATAATAGTAGTTTCTAAATCGCCGATGATACCAGATACAGTGGAAGCGGCGTTGATGCAAGCTTGTGTACCTCTGGACTCGTTTTGTAGAGTGGCAAGAACACGGGAAACTTTCTCCGTTACGTTGCGAGAGCAATCTCCCACTTCTCGCAAGAGTACGTCATCTTTTCGGACTAAGCACTGGCCTCCTGTTTGGACAAGTTCTACGCAGGCGCCACCCAGTTGTTGAACAACTTCCTGTAAATAGATTTAGTCTTCAATTTCACTTCTTTTTAGAAAAAATATCAACTGGAGAATAAAAATACTTAGATAGTCAAAGGGAATGAGTTAAAGATCCATAAGAGATCGTTAATTGATATTGTAACAAAAGACCTACTGCTTTAAAAATTAATAAGTACTAGAATAAATACGTTAACTATAATAAATAAAGATGTTTGTTACCCTTAGTCTGATTGCAACTTCGGCATTAGTGGCAGCTGCAGCAGCTCCAATACTATCGCCAGATAATTGTGCATATTTGTGCGCAAGATCCGCAGATAATTGGGCCACCTTCTGAGGGTCAGTGGCAGCTTTACTGGCAATTTCTCCGGCGATTTTAGCTATACTCTTCGCACAGTCCACCATTCGTGTTTGGTAATCAACGAATCCTAAGAAATCATTATTATTCATATATGCATATAACTACAATACGAGATCATTTAAGAATAAAATCATATCGGTGAAGTAAAGCGATATTTCCAAGAATTATTAATTTTGTTATAAAATCTAAATCAGCGGTAGTGGTTAAATAAATCATGGCAATGGAACGGTAACGGCACAAATCTTTCTCAATACCAAATTACTAAGACTTGGTAGCAATATTTTGTAAATAAGCCCCTGAATAAAGATTCCTCGTCCAATCGCTCAGCTAGCGGGTGACTCGAGCGGGTAATTCGCGCAACCGGCTGCAACAATGATCGTATTTAGCATTTATTGTTTGTTCATACAATATCAAGTTTTGTTAGTTCCATGAACATTAACGGAGATAACTCTAAAAATGTAAAGTAAGCTACTATGAATCTCGGAACACATAATATATGTCGTTAACTTGGGACCAAACACATTGTGCCATAGATACACTGTCGTAGAAGTATAAACAATCAACCAGATAATATAAAATAAAAATAGAAATATAATATGGAAGAGGAACCCAGAAAGATAACCCGAATATAAAAAACATGCAGCATTAACCTCAAGATAAAATAGCCGATAGTCAAAACTGGACTTGTAATATAACAGCTGAAGAGATTGATGAAGAAAAGAGTGTTAAAAACTATTAGACGAACCTCACTGGACAAAATAAGAAACCAGAAACATTATTCGATAATGATTTCGATATGATGATCCATCGCAAATGGAGAGCTTATGTCTAGGATGTGGATCTCATGTTATAATAAAAAATTTATATATTTTTTAGAAGATCCTCTCCATAAGGGTTTGAATGTAAATTCAAAAGCTGTATGACAATATGCTACGTCTGGTCGACTCTTCTATATGCAGTGGAAACGTGGACCCTTAAAACATCAACCGTAAATAAATTGGAGGCCTTTGAAATGTGGATCTACCGGAGAATACTCAAAATTTCATGGACATCGCATACCTCAAACGAAGAAGTCCTGCATAGAATAGGCAAGGAAAGAGAACTTTTTAACACAGTTAAAGTAAGAAAAACATCATACCTAGGCCACATACTGAGAAATAATAAGTACCAATATGCCCAACTTATAGTGAAAGGAAAAATCGAGGGAAAGAGAGGCCTAGGAAGGAAAAGACTATCATGGCTCAGAAACATCCGACAATGGACAGGGCTAAATTTTGAACAGCTGAAGATAGAGAAGAGTTTAAAATTGTAGTAGCCAACCTCCATTGAGGAGAGGGCACTTTAAGAAGAATGACAATATGACCATACCAACCGCTTCTATATTTTATTCTTCTTGTTTTGTAATAGGCAATTATCGCCTATACCACACCGAGTATCTTGTATTTTACCCTTTATGATCAATCAGAAAAATATATTTGTTTTTTTTTTCAAGTACATATTTCAAATATGGTAGTGTATATATGTGTACTTACCGATATCACCATCAGATAATATTAGGGAAGCACGACTATCTGACAATCGAGTCATGGCTCTTGTGAGATTATCAACAACACCAGACACTATACCACTTTGTGTAGAAATCGCTTCAAGGCTGGTTACTAGATCTTGTAGATTATCTCTAATGGAGTTGGCACATTCGTCAATATCTGGATGAATGTTAACTGCCTAAAAAAAATAAATAATCAAAAATTAATTGTCAGTTCCTACATAAGCTTTGTCAATTCTCTTCATCTCTATCTATATTAGTGTAGTTCGGTACGGTTTTTTTTATGTGAGACGTTTAATACTTACTTTTGGATTTCCACCACAATCTTTGGTAGCGTAGATGAAATGCAGGGCAGCTTCGGATACAGACTTTGCTTGGTCGAGGATCTGTTCCTGCTGTTTGGAGTTATTCAGGTTAGAGGCAGCACTGATTGTACTTTCTACTAACGGTTCAAAGTACTGTACCAGTTGGTTAATGGCGTGACCTGAAAAATAATAAATCAAACAATTATGCAAGTAACTAAAAGATACAAAATATTTTTGTATGCAATATGTTTAATTTGAACATAATGCGGTACAAAATGTGCAATATTGTTTTCACTAATCTTACAACAATAAAATGTGAATACTTTGAATTATCCATGTCTGTCCGTCTGTAAATAGACTCTTAGGTATTGGAACATGTACAATGACCAATAAGGTGTCGAATGAAAGCTTATAACCCAAGGGTGGTATTAAAGGTAAAAAATTTGACCTCCTTCTAGTTCCAGAGTTGCAACCTACAGTACTATTTTAAACTCGTCAAAATAGTACAAGCGATATATTATTTGACGCACCTAAGCAATACGAGAACAAATATATACTTCCGGTTTCATGCTGTCTGTTCGTCTGTAAGCACAACTACTCCGTTCTATGAACAGATAGAATGACAAATGAGGTGTCGAATGAAAGCTCATAACCCAAAGATCTTACAGGTGAGAAATTTGACCTCGGGTTTCCGGTTCCAACCGGAAGTACTACATACGGAATAAGAGCAAAATTAAATTTACATATAGAGTTGTCTCGGCGTTTTTTGCTTAAATGGTACCCAGCGTCGATATTTTGAGGTTGCCAACACAAACATTCATACTGTATATATAACACACACCAATTTCTGAAACCAGGAACTGATAACTATCGGCTGAAGTTTTAAAAATAGAGGTGGAATAATTGGAACAGCTACAAAATGCTAGAGATTGAATGAGCGGAAAATAACATAATAGCAGCTAAGTATTATGACCAAAAATACACACAAAAACTGCTGATGTATATGCCAAATTTATATCTCTATTTTTTGCTTTTTTCTTTCCCAACAGTTGTTCCAGTGTGTATATGTGGTCTATGCATGATTTTCCTGCCGTGAAGCCTGCCTGATCCTCCCCGATTTTGCCTTTTATCGCTTGCTCTATCTTTTCTCGCAGTATCTTCCCATGTAATCTTCCTATTGATGATATTAGGCTTCTGTAATTTTCGCATAGTTTTCTATCTCCTTTCTTAAATATAGATGTCATACATGCCTCCGTCCATTCCTTTGGGGGCTGTTCTCCATTTAATTTAAAAAAAAAATTAACTAAGCTTTCTGAACTATCCATTTTACCATCCGGTGTAATTTTTTCCCTATCTGTTACTTCTATTTCTTGTCGTGGAGATCTGTTTCGTCTTCGTCTGTCTTCTTTTCCAGTGAATTGTGGCCTTGTTCCTTGTAACAGTCCTTCCATTCTTTGTCCTGTATATTTCCCAATTTAACTTTTTCTTTAAGTTTTAAGCAGGTTCTTTCCCATTCTTCATTCTTTTGTTGTGTTATTTGTTTTTTCACTGTTCTATCTTTTTCTCTATATTCTTTATAGATTACCGTTGTAAAAATTGACTAAAATAACTTACCTATATTTTCAGCTTCAAATTTGGCAGCATGTTTTAATGGTTCAATTGTATCGAAGAGTCCAGCAGCTGATCTTTCGACTTGTTGACTGTAAACTGGAAGCGTGGCAGCTCTTCTCGGAGCTAAAGATTGAGACACTGCATCCATATAGGCAGCGTCCAACGTTTTCAAGTGATTGCTAATAATTTGAGCAGCAGCTTCGCATTCTGACTTTCCGGGAGCTTCAGTTCTGAAAATAAATTTAAATTGAATAAAATAGTTGTTCTTGCGTGCTATACTATATTGATTTTCTAGTAAAGAAAATATGAAAGAAGATGACATCAACAATGAAACTAATGGTCTAGTTAAAAGCATTTTCGCGTTATGCTAAGCACTATTTTTTGAATTTTACCGATCTTTAATAAAGTGTAGAGGAGAATTGAAATAAATTAAAATACACAATGAAATGGATAGAATGACAAAAGGTTAAGCACTCAGTTTCACTTAATAACATTTAAAAAATTATATTAAAATCTAAACCCATCTTATATACATACTTTATATTAACAACAAGCTGTTTGATGGCGTCAGACACATTTTTGGAGCAACCAGCAAAATGTTGCCACGTTGAAGGATCCTTGGGCATGATAATCAGATTTTTTGTTGCGTTAATGACGGCACAGGAAGTGTCTATAAGTTTACGCCTGAATCGACAACGGGTTGTTGGGCATGGCGAGCTTCGGGAGGTATTTTTGCAGGGATGGTTGCGAATTCGCTGGAGCTGGCATATACGCAAAGATTTTCAACGGCATCTGGAATTGAAATAAAACATTCTTTTCTTATCACCAGCATTCTGAACAAAAAATACAAATATTTACCTAGCAGAGGTCTTGTAGCTTCAGCACACCTAATTCTATTTTCCTCAGAATAATCAGCATCTAGAGCTTTGATCTCTTTCACCAGAGCAGCTGTACTATTAGCTACAGCTTTGGCACTTTGGACGAACTGTCTCTTGGCAACAGGATTGGTAGTTTTAGAACTGGCTATCCTACAAGAATTACATAAGGCACTGGTGTGTTTGGCGATAAGAGTAGCAGCTTCTAGAACCTGTTTCTGGGGACTCGTTGGCGACGAAAGGGCTGCACATCCTTGATGAATAGCTTGGGAAGCTCTTGCGAATTGTGCCTGATCTACTAAGCCGGGGCGACCAGCTATGCTCGAAGGATCTGACACACCAATCTAAAAGTAAATCCACATTAAACAAAACTCTCTGAAAATTGCCGTAAAATATGCTACATGATCATATTTTCTAAGAGAAACAAAACAATTTAAAACACCTACATATCTAGTCTCAATTCTACAATAATGATGACGAAAATTTATAAAAAAAAATATTAGGTTCGCTAACTAGATTCTTTCCTATTTTTCCATAATTCTAAACTGAGGTCATGAAAAGAAAAAATTTAACTGATTTAACTTATAACGTGAAATATTTCGTTTGGTATTCTTAGACAGTTTAGTTTAAGTTATTGAAGGTGATTTGACTAATTTCTGAAAGAATAAACCTACATCCTCTTTTTTATAGATTTTGTGATTTTTTTGGTTTGCAATGATGAAGTAGATTGTTACTCACCAAGTAAGCAGCTTGAGCAGATGTTTCAATCATCGAACAGATAGCATTACTGTAACTTTTGACATAGTCTGTGAACTTTTCGTGTTCCGAAGCTTTGGCACTAGTTGTTATACCAGTCAGGCCTTCACCTAGCACTTTACTCTTCTCTATAACAGTATCAAGCGTCTCATAATACGAAGAATCATTAATTGGTTCTGTGGGATTCTCGAGTAAGTATCTCATTGCCTTCATTTGTCTGATAGAATTGTCACACTCGTTTTGGCCTGGTGCAGCTGAAGTGCAGACATTGACTAGATGATTGATACTGTCTGTAACAGCTCTAGCTGCAGCTGCAAGTTGGTTTTTACCATTAGGGAGATTTGGATCTGCCGAAAGAGCCTTAGCAGTTGTCAAGAGAGTACTGGAGGAAGTCGATACTGTTTTTAATGAATGCACCATTTCACCTGAAAGAGATAGACATTAGCACGCTAATCATATACTGAAATAATTCTAATTCTTACCTCTTACTGATACATCTGGAGTTTGTCCTGCCATCTCCATAGTAACGTTAAGTAAGTCTTGGTAAGCAGAGGCAAAGTCCCTAGATGTAGACGCTAACTGTATTGGACTATAAACAGATTCTACAACGCTAGAGCTGGCTTCATTCAGGTTTGCGGCAGCTGTGTTTAATTCATGCTGCAATTCTCCATAACTCTTCTTTGTTTGTGGCAAATTGGTTGTTGTTACCATTGACGACCACTCTGAAAAATAAAGTTAATATCAACTATAGATCTATGTATTGTATTAACGTTTAATAAATAATTATAACTTCAAAATAGAAACATTTATCTTACCTATAATGTTAGTTATTGATGTATCAACATCCTTCTGACCAGGCAAACAACTAACAGCAGAATTCAAAGCTTGAGACATATCTTTAGCAGCTTTCTGTAGACCAGGAGTAACTCCAACAGTCGACAAACTCTTTTGAGCTTCGTTGACGAGTTTCGAAGATAAAATTAATACGTCCTGACCGGAATTTATTACTCTTCTTTGTACTTCGGGATTATCCGAAGTAGCAGCAACAATACGAATAGCGTTCGTGAGATTTCTAAGGCTGTGAGCTGTGTCTCTCGCAGCTTGAGATGTGTACATTTCGTTGCCCTGAGCTGCAGCACTTAGTAATTGAGCAATACCTACAAACATTTTAAACTTTATAATTGAGCATATCGTAGAAAACTTAAATAAGAGTGGAAATAATGTGGATCTTAATAATAAAATTATATGTATGTTAATATACCTTGATTGACTAGTTTACTACTGGCAGCTAGTTGTAAGGCACCTCTTTCAGCGGTGTCATTCGGTAATGGCCTTAACCTGCAAGCATCTACAGCTCGTTCGAATTCGTTAAGTTCTTCTTGAAGGTCTGCTATCAGCTGTTGTGCTGCGTCCATTCCTAGACCTTGGCAAGCTGGTTTAGCCCTACTGATGGCACTGTGTAATTCACTTATTTCCGAGTTGAATTTTTGTGTGCTACTGGACAGTTGCTCACGAACAGAATGTTCTGTCAAAGTTGGCAAAGCTGATCTGAAATGATTACAAAATAATAATATTATAGGCTCAATAAGTATTCAACAGGTTATAACAGAAATGCATAACGAATTTTACTAATAGTACCACGATGTATTGATATCTAGTTAGCTTAAACCAATTCTTAAAATAATATTAAAAATTGGAGTATAGAATCATCAAGAACCTATATTTCAAAGGGTTAAAGGAGAAACAGATTGACGAAGATATGTTTAATACCATGGCCGATCAATATACTTCATAGAAAATCGTGAAAATTTGGAACGAAAGTTTCAGAAGATCCATAGGAAATGCAGATACTGAATATTTCATATAACCACGTCAATCATATACTTCACGGCGATTTGGACATAAGAAAAATTTCTGCAAAATGGATCCTCAAATCTCTGAATGTTGACCAGAATCATGCAACGGGATAGACATCTCGTTTGATCTGTGCTAGTTTGAAAATGATGCAAACTTCTTGAGCTTGAGATATTGTTACTATGGATGAAACTTGGTTTGGTATGAATGAAAGGAACTTTCATCTTCAAAAATCAGCTGGAAAAGTTCTTACTTCAATTTTTTGGGATTACCATGTAGTAATTATCATTTACACCTTTTACTTCATACACCAATGAAGAAGTACTGCGGAGAATTAACACAATTGCGGATTTGGTCAACATCGTGAAGGGCCGTAAACTGCACTACTTGGGACGTATAATGAGAAATCAAGGCAGATACGAGCTATTTCAATGCATTTTGCAAGATAAAAAAAGGCCCCCGGATGAAGAAGAATATCCTGGCTTGATAACCTGAAAGCATGGTATGGAAATACTTCAAAACAGCTATTTCGTATAGCAACCAACAAAGTCATCATAGCCAGAATGATCGCAAATGTTCGGAAAGGACAGGCACCCTAAGAAGAAGAATTATCATTTATTTTCTGGATAACGGTAGAACTATAACTAGGAATTACTATCTGACATTATTGACCACACTAAGACAAAAAATTATGAAGAGCAAACGAGAAAAGTTGTCCAAACGTATCTTATATTTGAATTAAAATGACCCTGCGCAGAAATCGCTTGTTGACACGCAAACAATTAGTGATTTTCGACTAGAAGAGCACTGATTTTTTTTTTGTAATTTGTTGAACTGATTTTTTGTGTATTTTGTAGAATTGCTACCTCTTGTTGATCAATATAATATAATCTATTGGGTTTCTTTGAATCTTCCTTTAGTATGCGAGTGAAAAAAAAACAGTAAACGATTATAAAAATGTAATAATCGTTGAAAGAATAACTGCTACTTAAGTGGCACCAAGTGATATTATGGTAGTAAATAAACAATTATAGAAAGACGGAAAATCAGCCATGAACTGAAGATAATATTAAAATAATATTTCTATTTAGAACAACTCTCTAGGAACAAAATGATAAAATATTTCGACATTCACCATTATATATTTTTTAAACAGCACATGCATTGTTCATTGAAAATGTTAACCCCTTCTACTAGACAGACTAATGGTAATTAATTACCAATATTATAAATACATATTCAACAACCTTAATCGCTTAGAAAAATTAATTACCAGAAGAATTACAACCATAGAGACTATTTTCCAAGTATAAAGATGGATGATTGATTATTGTTACATCCTTACATTAAATACATCTATAAATGAGACAGTTATAGTTACAGAGACAGAAATACTCACTGAGAAGAATGTATGAATTGTGTAGCTGGATGTAAAAACACTTCTGCAATGTACATCAATTCGACCTGGCCTGTAGTATCTTCAGCATTTTGAACATTGGCTTTGATAGACTCTACTAACAGAGGTATAGTTTCACCCAATTCAACAGTATCTTGGCTAAGCGTTTCTCTGGTAACGGCGTTTGTATTGTAGGGGTGGCTTGCCTGTGCTGCATTGATACATTGAGTAGCAGAAGCTGCGGCCTTTCTAGCGCAAATTTGAACTCTGTCCACCTAAAATATAAAATAAATGTTAAAATTTTCATAAAGTATAAATAAAAGCAATTCTTATATTGCAATGTATTGAATATAGGAAATATCTGTAAGAAAATTGTAAATTTATTCATACCAATTTTGCTCGAAGTGCTGGAGTGGTAGCAGCGACAACAGTGACGTCTCTAAGGTCTTCCGCAGTTTTTCTAAGTTGGTCCTGATACACTATTTCAGTTGGATGACTAGCGCACTGTCTGGCAGCTTCTACCATCTTGGCAGTAGCATCAGCTAAAGTTTTAGCGGCCGCCAATAGACGGCGTTGTATATCAGAGTCGGGCAGTTTTTCGGCCTCGCCTGCAATACATACATATTTTTATTGTAGAAATTATAGAACTAATAGATGGAGTCGAATTCTTAATTAAAAACCCAATATTTACTATTGTTAATATCACATACCTTTGATACTCTGAATAAGTTGTGCTGTGGCTTGTCCGAGACGTCTAGCTTGTCGCACCATTTCATTGGCATCACCAGAAGCTGCTGATAGTTTATCAGTAGCTGTGTAAATCTCTTCGACACTATGTTCTTGAATGGTTTCTCTAACTCTTTCCCGTCCAGCTAAAAATATTTTAGTTAATTGTTTAATAACTTAGGCAGAGAAAAGTACGTACCCAATTTCATATGATTTAAAAGATCGTTCAATGTACGGGTAACATCTGAAGCTGCAACCTTCAGTTGATTGTTCAAATCTTCATTTGGACATGACTCATTGCATACAGCAACCAGATTTTCGACGGCTTTGGCTACCTGTAAAATAAAATAGATAAAATATCTTTACTTTTTTTTAAACATATTCGATGTATACCTCTCTGACAGCGGTGGTCAATTGTTCTTGGCAAGCTGGTGAATGTATGGTTGGAGCAACAACTTTTGCACAAGCGACGAGTTGTGATGTAGCCAATGCACACTGGGTGGCAGCACCTAAAACATTTTCCAGTTAACCCAATACTTAATATACGAAAAATAAAACAATATGTTTATTCAGAAGTTATAAATTACATACCTATTACTCGGTTTTGTGTTTGTTGGTCGTCAGACGTGGAAGCTATGTTTTTGGCCTTAAGAACTAAAGCAGCAGTTGTGTTTGCTACAGCTTTGGCCAAAGATAAAAGCATATCTTGCAATTCTTTATTTTCAACGGTATCTTCACCGATGGTAGCAAGAACTTGGGTGCTAGCTTCACCAACTCTAGAAGCAGCGTTGAGCAGATTTTGTCTTGGCTAAAAAATAGTTTAAAATTAAAATTGTGGTATTGACTATACAAACATAATTTAGTACCTCTTTCGATTCAGGTTCTGCAGCTTTCAACAAATCACTAAAAGCAAAACAGAGCTTTCTTGTGGCATCCAGCAATTTCTCTCCCATGCTTCCATCATCCATCAAGGCCGCTATCATCTTGACATCTTTGGTCATTTCCGGTAAGTTACTACCGATTGTTGTTATGGCAGCTCCAACAGCAGTATGATCCACCTAAAATTCATAATACATAATAACTTAATAACTCAAATATATTTTATTTAATATTTTATTTCCTTTAAAAACGTATTAACGATTCTTACTTCATCTTGCGGTCCAGACGTGAGAGTAACTACTTGAGCAGTAGCTGCACTCATGGCAGCTATTTGCGATCCGACATTTTGTTTCTTCGTATCCAAAGTAACTTGCTTCCATTTCTTTGCAGCTGGATCTGTTCCCAATTCTGGAACATGTGCTCTCGCTTCAAGCTCGATTTCGGATTCTTTGATTCTGGACTGCGTTGCAGAAATTGTTGATAATAGCGCACGTTGTGGTTCTGATATTATCATTGTTATTTTTGTTTGCTGCATGTTGGTAGTCTGAAAAGGGTAATAAAAATATAAACAAAAGTCTTTTGATATAACCAAATTTGTAAATTAAACTAGTGAACTGTACTATAAGCATAATTTTAAGTAAAATTTCATATTTTTAATACTCGCTAACTTTTTAGGAGCTGTAAAGTTTCAAATAAGAACTAGGAATGCATAAATATTTTATTTTAAGTTCAAATTCCAAATATCGTACATAAAAATTAAAAGAGGAGAGTTGTCAGAGATATACGGATAAAAATAGAAGCTACTGAACACCACCTATCTAAGCTCTTTACTCGAATACTGGCAAATGGATTAGAAGTAAAACTTAATTTATATCAGTCAGAAGAACCAGCAGGATTTCGAATAGGTCATGGAATAAATGACCATTTGCAGTGCCTTAAAACTCTAGTCGAAAAGTCTAGAGAATATAATAGACCCTTTTATATTTTTGTTGACTTGCACCAAGCATTTGACATAGTGAAAACAGTCGCTATCTTAAAAGCATTATCAACAACTAAATGTAAACCTTCATTGCATGACTAAATTGAAGATAGAGAAGATAAAAATTGACAGAGGGGTGCGACGGGAGATACTTTGCCGCAAAAACTATTTATAACAGTCATGGAGTATGTACATACATTTAAACGATTAGATTGAGACTCGAAGGGTATTAACATCGATGGACAGAAATTAAATCATCTCAGAATGCCGATGACACTGTCCTCATAACAGACGGCTTAGGAGAAGCTAGAGTTATGTTGCAACAACTACAGGAAGTAACACAGATGGTCAGTTTAAGGATAAACTATGAGAAAATAAAAATAATGACAAATGTCGTCCCCAATGAACTAATAGAAAGCGTCCATAAAAGTTGTAGAAAGATATGTGTATTTGGACCACGAAATAAAATCAACACGAGACAACCAGACATCTGAGCTACTCAGAAGAAAAGAGGTTGCCAGAATAAAAGACGGCAGGTGGACAAAAAAATTTGAGTGGAGACCACGGAGAGGACAAGCGAAGCTTAGGAAGACCCCTAACACGATGGACGGACGACCTCCAAAGAATTACGACCAATTGTATAGCCGTGGCATAGAACAGAGATAAAGGGAAATATCTAGAGGAGGCCTATGGTCAATAATGGACGAATCAGGACCGATTTATGATGATGATGATATAACAATAGTAGTTTCAGATGTAGTAGATAGTGAAGTAAAACCCAGGAGATTTGAATAGAAAACAAAAGTTTTTGTGTGTATCATATTTATTTATAGATGGAGAAGTACCTGCTACGGATTTTTCGGTATTTCCTTCAGGGATTTGGTCTTATTTTGCATGCGTAAAAATAATAGCACCAAGTGATGGGTGAAGAAAATTGAAAATGGCTAATGTATTCATGGATAAAGAAATAGAAATCAAATATAATATATACACGTGCCCCACGTTGGGCGCCAAACTATCATAACCATCTCCTTGAATTTTATGCATAACAGAGGAGAGTTGGAAAAATGCAATGGGAATCCCCAGAGGGTAAAGTTTTATTTTGGATTAAAATACTATACATTTAAAGGAATATAGTACAGGATTTAAAGTGGTACTATAAAAAGGGTACAGAATTATAACGTTTAGTAAAAAAAAACTAATTAAAGTATAATACATAAACTGGGTATATTAGATTATGCTGGAAAGCACTAACCAGTTTCAAAATATTTAAATATTTCTCTGTGATACCGCCATATCGACCTGAATAAAATCAAAGCATTGAGTTTCCATCTAAAGCAAGTCTTGAAATGTCGCGTTAGTTAAATATCTAGTTAAATATCGAGCTAGTTAAATAATTAAGTACTTTACTCATTCATTAATTAACTCAAAAGTAAGCAAACACATTGTTTACAATATATTTCTGCTTGAATTGCACCATTCAGACATTCAAAATTTATAACAGTACATATAACTACATAAGAGAGAAATATTTAAATACTATATGTATAGTAATTGTTCAGGAAAACAAGTATAAAGGTGGAAAAGGCATAATAAAACTTTTGATATACCTGAAAAAGTGCATGCATGAAAACTTTTATGTAAATGTGATAATGCTATTTACAGAATTACTGTGCTACCATATATACAGGATAAAATCGTCTATCTGTACCTACTCTCGACCCTGTCCAAGGTAAAGACATGTAATAGAAGAAACATTTTCGTTAGTTACAGAAAATTACTAAAATTTGGTATTTTTGATTGTTTTTTTTTTCAAAATATCTATAATAGTTTGTATATATTCACTATAATGTTTACCTCGATGTTAAGTGTACTTTCCTTGTAGTTAGTTGGCAAATTGAGGTAGTTCTCTAGATTAGTCACTCTTACCTTAGTGTAAGACATTAATAGACTCATACAAATATAGAAAAGCTGTAGTTAGATCGGTATTAGTTTTTGTTATTACTTAAACTGAATGGTTATTTAGACTTGTCGAATACATATAAGCCACATAAAACGTATAATTGGACAACAGAAACAAAAACAATAGACATTTAAATTGGTTAAACAAACACAATGAACATAAAAAAAAATAAAATGTGCTTACCGTTGGAGGAGCATGACCAACATTGACAGAGCCACTTACTGTGGTCTGCATAGGACCACCCATGACACCCATTGTAAAAGTTTTCTCGGCTACAGTTAAAATAAAATAAATAAAATCATAAAAACTAAACAAAGAGACCCAATTAAAATAAAAATAAAGTACAAGATGTTTAAGATTGTAATTTAAATCTGTTAAACAAAAAAAATATCCAATTTTACAGTGGCAATTTGTATTTTACTCCCTACAGACTACATTTTAAAGTTTAATGAACATATTTTTTGTATTAAGGATTTAATAAGTTTACTATTTTATATTGTCTATATTATAATGCTATAAAAGCACAGATGTTTCCGAAATTCGATGATCAAATGGGAAATCGCAAGGCTTACAATTTAATATTTTCCGTTGTGCTGGAAGGTCAACCAGAATGTAGGTAATCCATATAGCTTTAGTATTTTTCAATCCATTCCAATTCATTTAATATTTTTCAAGTATATGCTTTAGGCATAAGTATTTTCATTCTTGATGAAACTACTGTTCCGCCTCTGCGTTTTTGGTAATTTTGTAATTCTAAATTTGTATGCCTTCTGCATATTATCTTCACAAGATCAAAAACAGGGTTTTTTTTTTATCGATGAAATTAATATTGACTGTTCTTTTCTGGAATTTTCCGTAACTATAAATTTAATATATAAAAACAGTAGATTACAGTAGCAAGTCCATTTCATTCAACACATGAGAACACAACAAATCCTAGTAGCATATCTGTTTAATTCAGTATGTAAGAACACAGTGACAGAATATACAAAGAACTCCATGTAGTAATTATCAATTTAGAACTTAGCAATATCCAACAAGGATTACAAGTAAATGTTTCCTTATTTGCTTTTTGTATATGTATAATTTTATCTCGATAAATATGATATCTGATTTCCTCGTAGCCTATTTTATATTAAGACAAGAACGATTCTACACCCGAGGGAACTAGTCAACTCAGTTGAATAATCGAGCCCAGCATTCTCTTGTTACATAATTGGCGCCCAACACTTTTTTATAGGTGTTACTGATGATAAAATATTTATATTTTTTCCGGTAACTTAGATTATTCCTTTTTTCTTTCTTAATTATTTCCGCATGCAAGCAACTAAATACTACTTTTGCTATGTTTATAATCACTATTTCTATCTTCCTAATTTATATAGTTTATTCTGAATTAATTAATCAGTTTCTATTATATTCTTTTGAAAATGGAAGCAGTAATTTATATTTCGTCATTAATGGTTGGCCTTCTCATTAAATATAGTTATCTCGATATCGAGGTTAATCTCTGCATATTAACAATTCCATCTTTAACTATAAGTATTTAACATGTTCAGTATTTAGTATCAACGAAGGAGTCTAAACTTACCATCAGCCGCTCTCATAACTGCTGGTTTGGCCAAAGATTCAATACTGGTTCTGCCAATCTTGCTAGATTCGTGTTGCAAAATTGTTGCTCTGAAAAATACACATTTTTTAATATTAGAATACATGTTTAACACATAAAATATAATGCACTAATATTTAACATATCATGAGACAGAATCAACACTATTTGTGATAGCGAGCAAATTTGTAGATTGATTTGTAAATTGTAACTTATTTTAAGTTACACTTACTGGGTGGGTGTTGGCCTGTTCAAGAATTAGTCTCCATTCCCCCCTACCTTACGCCCTGGCTCTCCAATTTCTGACCCCTACATTCCTCAAGTCATCTTCGACTTGAGTTTTGAATTTAGATCTTGGCCTGCCTCTCTTCCTGGGTAGGGCCCTACGCCGGTAGGCGTCCAGCGTTAGCAGACGTCGAGAAGACGAAGAACAGATGAGACGTAAGGTGAGTGTAGCGTTGAAGACACCGCACTATAGCGGTCCAGGTAGCACTTGCGAATCACAGTATGGTTAAGAGGAAGGAGGGTTTTAGTGGGTAGACTCTAGCTTCCCTGCGTGTGGTGAGACAGCCATCTCAGAAGCGGCAAGAGAATCCCACGTAATCAGAGACAGCACCTGGTATCTTATGAAGATTTATTACCCCCCTCTTATAATATGAAAAAAAAAAAGATGCTGAATGAGCGTTCTGAAGCGGATTATCTTTACCTCTGTACTACTCACAATGAAGTGATTGCTACCAGCACGTTGAGATGATCAGCACGTTGAGCTGATAAGCACGTTGACTTAGATCTACTTGAGCTACCTAACTGGATTCAGTTTCATACCAGCATACCACAATATTCTTCAATGATTTTATTCTGGCACTCTATTTTGTTATTACCTCAATAATTAAAAATATTAAGCTTTTCACCTGACAATTTCCATTGAATATGGAAAGTTATGGAATTATCTGCATATACGATTCTTTAATACTGAGATAAAGGCCCGTTAGGCAAAAGGGACTATTTTCCCTTTCATTTAAAAGTTAACATCCAATTCATTATCGTATTTCTTCAATTGTCATCTTTTTGAATTTGTACTTGACTTATCACATCTCATTCTACATAATTTTTGATTATAATTAGCACCGCAATTAGAAACTTATTTTAAATTTGGCATATTACATACAATTAAAAATACTTACTTCTGTTTAGCAACATTTTCTTCAAACATAGTAGATCCCTCATCTCCTTCGATACCAAAATGATCCTTAGCTTGTTGTTTCTTTAAGATGATATCAATGTACCCGGCTATAATCTGCTGGATTTGCTCTGCTTCCGTCGTTTGTACTGAATAATACTGATCGGAGTAGTCACCGAAGTCCAGGGTGAAAGTGTTTGGACTAGCTCCCCATCTTCTCACCTGCGTCAATGGCCAGGTCTGTAGAATTTCTTTGGTCTGCTCGTTCAGACGCAAAACAGAATCTTTGGTTACACCGAGTAATCGGGGAACTAGTTTGTTCTTTCCTTTCATCTTTTCTTTAACCAGGAAGAACGTTACTCCGTAGGTTCGAAGGGAACGAGCGTTTTTGGTGTATTTGACTTTGGCGTCTAGTTCACTAAGGCCTTGTTGTTTTTTGTGTTCGGAGAAGATCTTCTTTTCTATACCTTTTATTTTTGTGTAGGATTGTGGCAGAAATTCTTTAAGGCTGAAAAAAAGACAAATTTATTATTTACAATACTGCATTTGGAGTACAGTAGATTAATTGAAAGCAGAATAGTATTAAAGCATAGAAGCATGATACTACAAACTGTTGAAATAAAGAAAAAGACGAGAATAAGCACAAAAAAATCTAGATAATCCATTGTGATGATATATTACATGACGAATTCGATGAACAAGTAAGACTAATGACATAATCAACAGAGAAAATAAGAATAAATTTAAACATTGGATTCAGAACATTTGTTCCAGAGATGGCAGGAACCTTCAGCTCCAAATTAAATCTATGAAGATGTAAGATACAGATGTATTTTCTCTGTAATTATATTTAATATATCTTCGAAATATATATCCAATAGAAGTTCTATGTAAAGTTGCTGAAATGATAAGAGGAAATCATATCATCTATGTTATGATGATCATCTGATAATGAAACAGAGATATAATAGCTCTTACTAGTAAAATAAACATATTAACAATTCGTGATAATATCCAATCATTTATACAGGTTCATTACTAAACATTTGCATGTCTATACAAACAATTTTCCATATATACTCACTCTAAAAATCCAGGTTTATGTTTTAATTCCACATGATCTCCAAATTGTATTTGGCATTGAAGCCCTGCAAACTCGCAAGCCTTGTCTTGTGTAATTGGATGAGTTCCTTGCAATATCGCATCTCTAGCTTGTACATACAGCAGATTTAACTGTACAGGATCTCTGGAGTCGATATTCTGATCTGAATAGAAAAACTTCCTCCTAAGCAACACCGTTTGCATTTCATCAATTCCCTGTTCACGTAATGTTTTAGAGGGATCAAGCCAATTGACCTCATCGTCTGTGTGTAGCTTCTTACGCAATTGTTCCATTTTTGCGTCTCTTTCTCTTTCCTCTTTCTTTCGTTTTAAAGTAAGGGTGCCGTAGTTGCGGTTGTCTATGTTTTCTTGATTTTCCAGATCTTCTAAAACGAGTGAGTACTCGTCGTGGTTCGTTATTCCCAGTTTTGTGCAAATGACGACCATAAGGTTTGCTATTATTTGTGAATCGTCCACCATCATGGTTTTTACCGCACCTACAAGAGAAAAAAATAAACACAAATTCCATCTTAACAGTAACTAAAAAATAATATAAAAAGTAATTTTTTACTTACGAATAAAGTTAATGGAAGGTAAATAGGTAAAAAAGAACACTTTTGTCAGTTTTTGTCAGATGCATGCCACGTGCCACGCCTAATACAATTTCATGATATGAACTATTTATTCAGACGTTAAACGAAATTGGGCTTGATCACAAAGACATAAGAATGATTTAACAACTATATTGGAATCAAAAAACGGAACTAAGGATCGCCAACGGCCTATACAAAGCAGAAATGGAGACAAGGAAAGGTGTAAGACAGGGTCGTATTCTCTTTCCCATTACTGCTCAACATTTATGTAGAAAATATATTTCAGCTTGCAAAACAGAACGAAAACGGCATAAAATTGATGGTTTTCCTATTAATATACCTAATATATGGCCATAAAAGAGAAGCAGCAAGATTTAGTAAATACCATACATGAAGTGGAAGAGGAGTAGAAAAACCAAATATATGGTAATTAGCAGAAAATTCCATATGGAAGCTCAGTTCGATATAACTAATACAGGTATGAAACGGGCTGAAATATTTAAATACCTTTACTACATTAAACAGAAAGTGTGACTGTGAAGATAAGAGTAGCAATGGCTAGAAACGCCTTCGTTAAATTTGATAAATATCTTATTCGCCATGAAGTTCCTTTAACCATTAAAGGTCACCAAGTGACACTTAGTCACTTAAATTGAGATCTCTGAATCGTGTGGAGACCTAGTCTGAATGTGATGTCTCAGAACGCTACTAAGAATTCCATGGGTGGACCATGTAATAAATGATCAGATCCAAAGATAATTATTAGATCTCGTTTCATACTTGTAGCGAAAGGTTTCATACTTGTGTATTCTACGAACTAGCAAAAATAATCTTCTAAATGTCTTCTTGATGAGTAAAGTTGAAGGTCGAAGAGGCCCTGGACAAAAGCAACATTCATGGTTGGGGTTCCACAGAAGAGCGAAAGAAAGATCTTTATACATTGGACAACCATCATGATAGTAGCATACAGCTCCCTAAGAAGAATTCTTAAAAAGTTGAATTTTAAGATAAAATTCAATATGTGAAGTTACTGTTAACAGTGAGGTACTAAAACTGTAAAAACTGACTAAGAAACTATTTTAATAGTTTGTGTATATCAACAATAAAAATTAATCGGTAAACCAGATTAACAATAACATAAAAAAGAGTTATATAATTTGTTCTAAATTTTATTATAATAGATTACTTACCGTCCAACATTTTAACTCTAAGAGGTCGCAGCTTTTTTCTGTACTCAATCAGGTCTCCATTTCTTAAAATATAGTACTCTAAATTCCGTGCAGGCTCTAACCACACCCCCGTTTTGTTATCTTCATCAGTAAGGAAGAGTCCATAGTCTTTAGCTAAAATAAAACCAAAAGTAAATAATATTTAGTCTGTACAAAGATGTAAATATACACTAAATTTAAACTATTCTTATAATTCAAAGCGCCACGAGCATTTGGTAAATTTTGCTTTATTATATTTTACGGCTGGTTAAAATGATCGAAATACTCAACCGACTGGGGTATACTTTACTCTTTATTGACGTATAAATCACAGAACCTGTAATATGCCACAAACAAATATGGAGCGTACATAACCTCGATTAAATAACAGCACAGTATTCTCGAGATTTAAAAAGTATTTATATAGCGTGGAAAACACTTATGGAATAAAATTATTTCTGTCCTAGTTTTGAAAAATCGCTGAGACCCGTCGACTTTTATATATAAATATGAATTAAACATAAATTTAAATGTACAGGGTGACCATGACCCCCCTCCCAGAATTTAAAAATATATAAATTTAAATATTTGTAGTTCAAATGGTTTTAGTTTCAAACACATATTCCATTTGCCATGAGAACAATAGTTTTGAGGGTAGTAGAGGTTGTGCTGAACTAAGTAAAGTGTGACCTAACTAAGCTATGCGTGTATACTACAATCGCGCTCTGTTGGAGAAAGCAACAGACTGAGCTTCTGCGTCTGCCGCCCTCTTCCATCTGTGATGATGACCTTCTGCTTCTGGACGAAGATGCTGGATCTAGCAATGAGGGGAATCTCAAGGAATTGTTAAGGTTTAAAATCGCATCAGGACCTCTTAAAAAACTCTTATCCACAGCATCTTGCCGAGCAACATACATCAGTAGTATCAGTCAAAATCAATTAGTAATAACATGTTGTGCTGAAGAAATAATTGAACAAATAATGAATCAGGTTCAAAGTGCAAATTATTACTCTGTCATATTTCATGAAAAGATCAACCTATCCCACGTGGAACAGTTTTATCTAAATTTGAGATATATACACAACAACAACAATCGTTTAGACTTTGTCAAGTTTACTGACGCTTATAAGAACATAAAAATAATTAGTGAAAATCAAGAAAGAGGGGAAGAACAACGCCTGGTAGGAGAAGCCTTGCGAAAAATAGTATTAATCTTGTTGAAAGAACTGCACTTGGATCCGAAGAAAGGTATAGGAATTTTGGTACTGACAGTTATAGCGTTATGAGTTCTGAAGCAGTCGGTGTAGTAACAGAAATAAAAAAGGTCACAACAAATGCAGTTGAATATCCTTGCCTGAATCATTCTAAACAACAACCCTTTCAACCAAGTCCGTAATATTATTTTTTAACAAGTCAGCCAAGAGAAGTGAAGTTTTAAAATTAAAACTCGGACAAAATTTAACAAGTTTATGCGAAACAAGATGGGTTGAGCGCCATAAAAGCGTAATCCAGTTCGGATCTAGCATTTTACATATAATGAAAGCACTAACATCTATCTCAATATGGAAGGATCCCAAGACCGCTACACTTGCATCAACTTTGCTTAATTCTTTATGCATATCTGAGTTTCTAGTGTCAATGATGTCACTGATTGGCATACTAAAATTAACATTGCTACTAAGTCGACTTCTACAAACAAAATCTCTTGATGCTAACTTGGCGACTAAGACTGTTTCCAATACCATGTCGACTTGGAAAGATAAAAGATCTAAATGCGAAGAAAGTTTTAGTAATATTTTTACCCAAGTTAAATAATTAGCAGAGGCATTGGACGTTGAAGTGAAGTTACCTAGATTTGTGGGTAGACAGACATATAGACAGAGAGGTCCTGCTCTACGTTAAGAAGAGTGAAGACTTAACTGCGGACAAGGATGAGGAAACCCGAATAATGGGTCTTTGCCTCATTCATGTTCATCGAGACATTAAAGTAGACATTGAAAAAGTAATAGAGTGATTTGCACATAAGCGAGCCAGACGACTCGGTTTTGTGTACAACAATAATTTTTTACTAGACAAATTAAGTAACTTGACCAATACTATTCGCCTTTGTTTATGATATTTTAATTTCATACACTAAACCACCTACATTTTTTTCTTTGCACTTGTTGGACTTCATGGGGTCTTGGGTTAAAATTTGCTGATTTTTATAAAAATACTTTAATAACGATAAGTTTTGAATGTCTTTATGGCACTCAAAAATGTGTGAAAAGTGACTTAAAACTCACCATTTTTTAACCCTCATTTTTTTAAAAATTTTAACCAGACCCCCGGTATCCCATGCCCCCCAAATCGGTCTTCGATCAGCCCTTGCTTGATGGTGGGAGCCTTTTTGTGGTTTGTACCCTGTTTAGACATCTTCTATCTCTTCAAATTGTGTTTTTGCTAAATTGGTGTTGGCACTTGTCTTGTGTCTTACGGCGGAGATAGGATAAGCAGAAAAGGGGACCCATTGTTGGTGTTTCCAATTTTTTTGTTTATCAAATTCTTTTTATATGAAACGGGTTTGGAACAGCTGTAACTGTTACCTCTCTATGATATGTATATCCAGTGCGATGTATTTTTGCGAAGTGCAAGGACTATTGACTTTACGCAGAATTTGCCTTTCCAAACTTAGCAGCTTTTGTGACAAGTACAAATGTTTGCCCTGCACTCAATCAGAGGATGTAGGTAAGTTTTCTTTAAGTGTATAGTACTTTTGTGTGCGTACGTCTGAATTTTCCATACAACGTTGAGATGGTTGACCCTTTTTCTTATACTGTCAAGGGTATATTTCAGACAAAGGTATTTGATCTGATAGCTGAAATAAAGTCCATCTTCCAAAGCCTGAAGTTCATTAATTCCTATGATTGTGTGTAGTAGTCGCTAAGCTTGGGGTGTCTAAACATGATCTGTGTTTTGTTATGATTAAGTGTTACTCTCTAGTAACACTTAATCATAAGACCAGTAAAAATCAACTGAGGAGTAAGACAAGGAAACACAATATCTCCAAAATTATTTGCTGCTACCCTAGAAGATAGGTTTAAGTTAATAGACTGGGAAAATAAGGGAATTCCTATTAATGGAAGCTACTTGAACATCTTAGATACGCAGATGATGTAGTACTAATAGCCGACACGTGGAATGCCCTGAATACAATTATTAAGGAGCTACACACAGACTCCCTAAAAAAGGTACTGAAAATAAATTTCAGCAAAACTAAACTAATTTCAAACAAAGATGACAAACCTAAACATCGAAGGGACAGAGATAGAACACGTAGAAGAATATACATATCTGCGTCAAAATGTTAAGGTAAGCAAAGAAAATCAGACTACAAAAATATGCAGACGTATAAAAATGGGATGGTCAGCATTCGGAAGACTCTCATACGTACTTAAAAATAAAAATATACCTCAAAGACTGCGAACCAAAGTGTTTAATTCCTGTATCTTACCTGTACTTACATATGGAGCTCAAACCTGGACTACTCACTAAAATAAACATGGAGAAGATCAGAAAAACTCAGAGAGCTATGGAACGACAGATGCTGGGTATCTCACTCAAAGACCATAAAACCAATGAAGACATTCATATTAGAACAAAAGTAAAAGATGCTGTCGAACAGGCAACTAAACTAAAATGGAAATGGGCTGGACATAACGAACGTCTTACGGATGGCCGATGGAATAAAGAAATCGGGAATTGGCGGCCATATGAAGCCAAAAGACCACGAGGAAGACCGCAAATTTCTGATAAATCTTACTTTACTGCTTCCAACCGTCCTCTTCTTTTTCTCCCTTTCTCCCTCCTTCAGTATTCATTAACATTTCGGTTCTCTGGTATTCGTATGATGTGACCAAACATTCTAACTCCTTAGGCTCTTATTTATGGCGGAATTATTGATTTCCCATACATTCTCATTATTTCTTAATTTGTTCGTCTTTATGGAGAAGTGTTATTAGGGAAGCTGATTCCGCAAAGGGGTAAGGGCAAAGAGAATGGGTATGAGGAGGTCCTAAAAAATTGACGTTTTCGAGCGAAATAACCATTTAAATAACACAAAGACCAAATACTTTTTAGTACTATTTTGTATAAATCTGTTTCTTTGGAGACACTTAGCTAAATAATCTAAATTTGTTTTATATAATACATATAATTTCATACCTATTTACTTCAGATAATAGATATAATAAAAAGTATTTTAGCACATTTGTATCTTCATAAAACCACAGCAACTGCTTGAATTATACTTAATGTCATCGAAAGTTTATTTTCTGCTACACAACTGTTCCCTGACATTAATTACCAGAAAATCTAAATCGTTTTTACAGAAAATCAATTTCGCATAAAAATGTTACTGACTGGACTAAAGAGTTATTGGCGGAAAGAGTTTAAATTGTGTTACATGGGAGATTTTATTATACCGTTGTTTGTAAAATTCTTTCTACAATAATAGGGCCATATTGTGAAGCAAAATTAATTATCTATCATTAAAATAATGTACCGGTGGTAAATGCATTATATTATAATAAATATGACAGTCAATATTCGATTTTTGTTCTGATCTAGTTTTATGGGAAACAGTATACTATTTATTAAACACAATGCTTGTGGAAAAGGTACAATTTTAGGAACAATAGAAAAAAATATTAAATCGGTAAGTTAGTTATCTCAGCAAAATGAGATATAACATATTATGTAAATGGAGGTTTGGTAAATCCAAAGCGCTTCAAATAAAGTGAAATAAGAGCAACCCGGACACAGAGTATGAGGAAATTATGTACATGGCGAAAATATTGGAGTATCTGCATATTGTGAAAAATAAACTGGGCAATGTCGAAGTCTGTCTGCCCAAGAAACCTGAATCATGACCATGCGATTCAATGTTATACAGATTTTGCTGTATCTTATAAGCAAAATTCAGATTACTTTTACTGAATTTTACCGGATTTTACTGAAAATGCTTATAATACAAACGGTTTGCTTCTCATTCTTATTTTACTATACTAGTTATATCCTTTTTCAATGAAGCGATACCGGTAAATAAGTTACAACATCCCATGGTCCGTGGATTTTTTGAAAAATATTATCAACAACACATACGAGAAAAAAATCTCGCCAGTCGCCAGATACGTGGCGAGAATGAACGACGGTAGGTGGAGTGGCGTCCTAGGTTTGATGCAAATAGAAGTAAAAGTAGACCTCCAACACGGTATAGTCGCACCAAACTTAATTCATACGTCACAGGATCGGCAGCCCTGGAAACGACTGTTCAGTTACATGCTGCATAATGATTCATACAAAGGCAATCAATTCTATTAGAAAAACTGTTGCAGCACACATTCATCATGGTGGATAAAACACCAACACATCTGTTAATTGGTTTGTTAGAAGGGGACAAAAAATTATTGATCGCTTCTCAGCAATTGGTAAAGACCGACAAGGACTATATTACATAAGGAATACTGGACATTTTAAGTTATTGTTTTCTGTCTCAAACTGTTCATGTTGAAAACTTATTTTTTTTAATGTATGTTACGCCCTACATGGTAAAAGCAGACGAAAATTCAAAATTGTTGTAATGATATTAATCATATAATGCGTGTCAAACATGGTATTAATAGAGTATAATCAAAAGCTTATAAAAACATTGATTAAAAAAATTTTGAATATTTTTTCCAACTATAAAAGAATTCACTCAAAAATAGAAAGTCACCAGAACCAGACGGAATAATCAACGAGTTTCTAAAACACGGTGGAGAAAGTATAACCCTAGAGATGACAAAACTTATACAAAAACTAATATTGCACTGCAAGATACCATACGCATGGGGAAAGAATAAAGAAAACCCCAACAATTATAGAGATATAAATCTACTGAACACCGCACTTAAGCTTACCACAAAAGTCCTAACCAACAAAATCAATAAACTAACAACTTTATCAGATGAACAACAAGGATTCAGATCCGGAAGATTCTGCGTAGACGCCGTTTTTGTACTAAGACAAATCACAGAAAAGGCCATCAAGTACAATAAACCAGCATATCTGTTTTATAGACCTGACAAAGGCTTTCGATTGCGTCCAAGTCGAAGACGTCTTAAACCTACTGTATAAAAGAAACATACCAATCAATATAATACAAACCATCGAAAACATCTACTTACATAATCGAATACAGGCAAAGTCAGACAGAGTGACTCGTTAAGCCCACTTCTCTTTAATATAATAATGGACGAAATAATACTAGCAGTACGTAAAGTCATGGTTACAGAATGGGGAACAAAGAAATCCAAATATTATGTTATGCAGACGACGCCACATTAATCGACGAGACACAAGACGAGCTCCAAAGATTAACACATATCTTCAATAGAACAGCCAAGAAATACAATACGATAATATCATCGAAACTTGCATGAAAATAATAAAGCAGGAAGCAAGGTTTAAATATCTGGGAATAGATATAACTCTTACGGAGATGAAGAAAGTACGACAACAAATCTTAAAAGCAAGTAAAGCGGCGGGATCTCATAATGACACAATCTGGAAGAACAAATACCTAGACCAGACACAAAAACAAGAATCTATAAAGAAGCAGTTAGACCTATATTAACATACACGGCGGAGACAAGACCTGACAGATTTAAAACGAGACGACTACTAGAAACAACAGAGATGAAAATACTGCGACGAATATCAGGGAAAAGTCTGTTGGATAGGAAGAGAAGCGAAAACATAAGAAGAGCATGCAATATAGAAGACATAAATGGATGAGTGACAAAACGGAAACAGGAGTGGAACGAACACATTAGTAGAATGACAAAGTAGTAGAAAACAATTTAGGAGGCTAACACTGAAGAAGAAACAGGCTTTAAAGCCTACATACAAGAAGGAAGAAGAAGAGGAGGAAGAAGAAGAGGAAGAAGAAGGATTGTTAGAGATTTTGACAAAAGAACACCATGGACATCTTAGAATTGAAATAATTGAAAGTTAACGGTTTGTCGAGAACAGTATTGCAGAGGCATACAGTTTTGAAACGAAAAAATAAAAAAAAAGTATGTTATGTTCATTCTTTGTTAAATTTTCTGAAAAATAATATCTGCTTTAAAAGCTAGTTTAACTTGAGTTGTGCAGTTCAATTTGTCAGTACAGGATAACATTAATATGTCCCATTGATCTGTTTATGCGTGTAATAATTATCCAAGGGATTTTAACATTGCATTTAATTGTATTGGTAATTTTACTATGTTTGGTACATTTCAAAGCCAAGTAAGACTTCATCATCTGTTAATCGATTGCGTTTGTTTGCCTTAATATTATTTGATGCTTGGAACAAAATCCACACAAATATGTTGATGAAACAATTGTTAGCAAAGCCATTGCTAAATCTTTCAAGGTGGTATAAGTAATAGGTAATCTGTTTCAAGACTTCAAAAATTTTATACGTAGTTGCACTTTACATTACAGATACTAAAGTACATTACATATATTTCTACTTACATTGTTCACCCTCTGTACATTTATCTCGAATGATTCGGCAGGCATCATGTACAGTCGTTGCAGGATCGAAAACGATAGTTTTCGTAACGTTTTCGTCGATAATATTAATTCTAAGAGATAAGGCCATGGTTCTATCGGATGTACTGATCTGAAACAATAGGAAAAATTTCAAATGTTTATAAAAGTTATAACAAATATTAAGAAATAGTATCAATAAAAAATCTCGAAATAATAAATAGTTGACGTGGTATAAGGGTGTCTAATCTATCTATCTATCTATCTATCTAATTAGCCTTCTTCGGTCCATCTTTGGACATAGGCCTCCCCAATCCTTTTCCATTCTTCTCTGTCTGTCGCTACAGTCATTCATCTAGAGCCCACGTGCTTCTTGATATCATCTGCCCATCTCATTTGGGGCCTTCCTCTGCTTAGTTTATATTCCCACGGTCTCCAACTTTGCCCCAAAACCATGACGTAAAATACTTAGGTATTCACCTTGACAAACGTCTAACTTGGACCAAACATATATGGACGAAAAGGCTTCAATTAAGAATTTTATACAGAAAACTTTACTGGATGTTGGGAAAACTCTCACCTATCGATCGACAACAAGCTGCTGATATACAATACAATAATAAAACCCATTTGGACATATGGCTCGCAGCTCTGGGGTTCAGCTAGCAAATCTAATATTATGATAATACAAAGATTTCAATCCAAAACTATGAGAACAATCGCTAATGCACCTTAGTATATCTATAATGATGCAATACATAGAGATCTTCAGGTACTAACAGTCTCTGAAGAGTGCAAAAAATCTTCTGAACAATAACAAAACAGGTTGCGGGTGCATCCTAATACCTGGCACACAATCTTCTCAACAACCAACAAGCGAAGAGATTGAAGCGATATGACCCCTTGGACCTACCTCACCGATTCTGACAGAGCCTACAGCAGTGGGAGTTACGCCTTCAACATCACCCAGCCATTGGGATCAGTGCCGCTTTTAGTGCTCGCGTATCAGTGTATGTGCGCATCCTACCGGTAAACAAGCCAATTTGGGTCGTGATGATTTGGTCACTGGACCTTACATCTCTCTGTCATGTAAAGACAAAAAATTTTACTTATTGTTTTCACTGGAAAACAGGTTGTAAAAATCTTAAATGTTAATAAAAAAATGCGGCTATATTCTGCTTCTACTTTAGGTAAACTCAAACCAATATGATATCAACAGAAAAAACCAAATGTATGACTACATCTAAATACCCACTACGATGTAAAATCGAAATTGATGGGAAATAATAAAACCGGAAGCAAGGTTTAGATATCTGGGATTGGATATACATTATAATTACGGAGATAGGATGTTGAAGAAAAAATAGGACAACAAAGCTTAAAAGCAAGTAAAGCGACGGGATCTTTTAATGACACAATCTCGAAGAACAAACACCTAAGACAAGACACAACAACAATAATCTATAAACCAGCAATTCGACCTATACAGTGTAGGAAAAATTTTATGGTCGGTATGGACCCTTACGTGAGATGGAGTGAGAAACAGCTGTTTAAAAGAGAGAGCGGTATATTAGGTACGCCCTTTTATATCGCCGAATGGAAATATTAAAAAAGGGGAAATTCAAACGTTGCCAAACTTATTGGTTTTATTTTGACCTGTTGTCTTTTTTGCATTTGAACAATGTTCTATCAAGAAGATAAAAATGCTCAAGATAATCAAATTTGGGCGAATAATTTTAAATGGTAGGTTACTGTTTTTTTTATTGGGAATATGCCACAAGTTTTCTTTACAATAATTGTAATATAACATTTTGATTTCCATTTCGGAAATCGTTTTATATAAATAAAAATTTATTAATGTTTCGTATTTTAAGTTACGATTTCCGAACTAAAAATCTAAACATCAAAATAATTTCCCAATATGAAATAATAAACATTTAAACATGCATACATAACGCCAAATTAAAAATATTCATACACTAAGTTATTTGGCAACGTCTAGTCTAGTCTAGTCTGGTCAAAAGATCGAGTAACGAGAAGTAGAGGTGGGCCGTGCTAGTTTATCATTAAGAGCGTAGGAGCAAAATTTCTGTTAAAATGTTATTTCTTTAAACGGCCGTAAAATTTGGGAAAGTTGAGAACAATAATCCAGTGTTCTTTATTTAGATTAGGTTTAAGTCTAAGTCTGTATTATTTAATACCAATGTGGAACGGGTTGCCTCTTCTAACTCGGGTCATTCTTTTTAACATGTAATGGGTGAAGTTCTACCTAGTTTCCACGTCTTGGATTGGCCGTTTGGGAACTGTGTTCTGTTGTAATTAATACTTTAAAAGCCTTTCTGAAGATAAGGTACTTTTTTGAAATGTTTTTTTTTGCAGGAATTGTCGAAAAAAGGACTTTTTTAGACCCGACTGATTAATAATTTCAGTAATCGCTGTTTTCTGGATTATGGTTTCCAGAAAATGGCAGCAGCCTAATAAAAAAGTTTTGAATACTAAATTTTCGGTTAAATATTGTCTGTTAATGCGAAGTAACTCTCAGTTACTCCAGATGTCCAGAGGTCAGTAGTATTACAGATATTTTCTACTTCTTTAACAACTTGCGATCTAATAATTTGCTCACTTTTGACAATAACATTCCTGAAGTAATGAACCTGACAAAGTTTTTCTTGTTGGCGGTTTATATCCAGGAATCCATCCTGCAAACTTTTTAAAAGCTGGTTCTTTAACTATGGAAAACGGTATGAAAACGAAAAGTTTAGTAAATCTTGAAAATCAATCAGTCCAAGAAAAAGAAACTGATAAAGATGACTTAAGTCCATGGTGTATTTTTGATGAATTAATTGGACATGACTCATCTAAACATACACCTGTATCGAGAGGTATAAAAGAAGTCGACATGTAATTGTCTGATGATATATTACCCACAAACTAATTTCGAACGGAGATTGGAACTGTCCATTACCGTGGTGAAAAAACCATCGCCATGTATATCGTAACTTAACCACTATATTCATAAAATGTTGTAGTATTGTAACAAAATCTTTTCCTTATGAACACATGTTTTAACATCTGGTATAATTTTAAATAAAAGAAGAACGCGATTAACAAGAAAAGTGGAAAAACTAATGTTTTTAAATGTCAATTTAGACGATTCGCGATTTAATAATGTGTAATGTTAATGTAACTATTTAAGTACCATTTGTATTATTTAATTTATTTTTCAAGTTACAATAAATTATATCCTTCGTTAGGTTCTTTTATTTCAATACTTATACACATAAACGATAATAGCTAATATGTTTGTGTACTCGCTAATTTGGAATACTGGTAAACAATCAACTAGTTACAGTTTACGAAAAACGGTTCCGATAAAAATTAAAAAAAACGAGGAAGACCCACCTCTAGTTTTTTAGGTATATTAGGATCGGAACCAGAGAATATCTGATCGGAACTAATCGTCTCACTAATGGGCAATGGCCAATAAGTGTTAAAAGAATTTTAGGAGGGGAGACGAAGGGGAAATATGATTGTTATCTTTGTCTAATTCGTTGAAAATATGATTTTATATCTGCGTTAGATATCCTGTTAAATTTTACCATACCGACCTTAAAATTTTACCTACACTGTATTATCATACACGGCAGAGACAAGACTTGGCACGTCTAAAACGAGACGACTACCAGAAACAACCGAGATGAAAATACTCCGACGAATATCATGGAAAAGTCTGTTGGATAGGGAGAGAAGCGAAAACATAAGAAGAGCATGCAATATAGAAGACATAAATGGATGGGGACAAAAAGGAAACAGGAGTGGAACGAACACACTAGTAGAATGGCAGAGGATAGGATAGTACGAATAGCACGAGATAAATCACCAAATGGACGAAGAAGTATTGGCAGACCAAGAAAAAGATGGTGCGATAATTTCAACAATTTAGGAGGCTAATCATGAAGAAGAAACAGGCTTTAAAGCCTACATACAAGAAGAAAGAAGAAGAAGGGTTATTGCAAATTCGCACACAATTGTACAAGAATTATATCTTATAAAATAGCAACTGAGTTGCTACCTAAGGCCCGATTGGAGAACACGTCTCCGGACCACTAACTCATGTGGGAGTTTACGTTGCCATGAAGTGAATCTACTTAAAACTTTAAACATCCTATAAAATTAACAGGAATGGCGTAATCTAATACCAATTTAATAACATTTAAATGGATTTCACCCATGTCTACCTAGTAGCAGCACTGAAGATGGAATATTTATTCCGAAAACATTCTGGGATGTAGCCCGGAAGGCTTTTTAAATAAATATACCTTTTATAAAGGATTTTTTAATGAATTTTTACAGCCGACTACAGGAAATTAAATTTTAACTTGTGGATCAAAAGTGTAAACTTGGTAAAATAATTGTATGTCTACACTATAAGTAAATACATCAGGAAAAATAGAATATTTAACCGGCTCGTAATAATAACGAACAGTGGTTAATAATATTAAAAAGATAGAGACAATTTTATAAGAACACTCTTTCACACTGATTTTTCTTGCTATCTAAAGTATTGATTTCAGTTAATATAATATAAAAATAAGGAAGATATAAAAGAAGTTATGTATCTTAGTTCTTTGAGAAAAACTCGACTCAAGAAAAGCATAATTTAATTTTACCTTTAAAAACAACTAATATAACAGACTACATATACTACATAAAACAAAATCTCTGTAAATCAAATACAAATCTTACTATCTAGGTTATGTTCCCACACAAGAATCCAAACAAAAGGCTCACCCCCTTCGCGTAGATAAAAGTAGCCAAACAAACGCGGTCATGCGATTGTTTCATGCTGCCCATTCACTTATCGACGTGTGTTCTGAAGACTAGTTAAGAAATAAGTCAATAAACCACTAAGAAAGGGAACATGTCGCATCTGATAATTGAATCATACGCGATACTGAAAGGTTGGGGGTAAATCTATCGTTCTAAACGCGTGCGGGGTGACTATGTTGTAGGAGAGACGCGGGAAGGGATGCTGGGTTGCCGGGCAACGAACGACTTGAAACGACGACCCGCGTCCCGACGACGTCACAGCGGCGGCACGTGGATTCCTAC